TATTTTTGATATACAATTCATTACATTTAATTTATAAATTGTTATTTATTTTATTATTGTTTATTATTATTATTATTAATATTATTATAAATTCTTCATTCTACTTACATTTTTGTTATCTACATTATTCCTTATATTTTATTTATTATGCATGTTTTTTGCAATTATTATTTATTTATCGATTATTTATTAGTATCAGTCTTAGAGTCTCTGACATGGAAACAGCAGAAGTAGAAACTCAGAGGGAGAGAGAGTTAATTTGCTATTATTTATTTTAGTATAATTTTATTATGTATTTTTGCTATAATATTATTCATTAAATTCAATGTCGAGACAGGCACTGTGACAGAAGCTGTGTTTGTGTCCTCACTCCGATCATCAGCGCTGGGAACGAGTCCGAGTCTCCCAGACTCTCTCTGACTGCACTCAGGAATGCCCACACACACACACACACACACACAGATCTTCATAAGAGTGTCGGCTGAGACGACGAGTTTCCCAGACATCAACGTCTGATCAGTGTTTCTCTATATGACGCGCCTCACATTAACTCACAGGCCGGCTCTCATGAAGAGGAGTGTGTTAATGTGTGTGTGTGTTGATGTGTGTTTCTCTAGCGCCACCTGCTGGTCTGTGATGGACTCTCACTCCCTCTAGTGGTGAAACACAGGTTGTGCTTCAGCGTCTGCCGCTCACATAGAACCACTTTACAAATATAGATTCTATTAAATTCTAATCATTTTAATCTAAATTTAAATCTAAATTTCATAATTAAGTTCTTCAATAATGTAAAAAAAAAATTAAAAATGTTAATCAAAATTATTTTAACTCTCAAATGGCAATTTCTTTTGGCAGTTTCAACTCAATAAAACATTTCAGATCTTGGCATAACGAAAAAAAAAAATTTATTTTATTTTTTCATTTCCATGACTTTTTTTTTAGATTTTATTCATTTATGTGACTCTTTTACATTTAATTATTAATTTTCACTCACTTTTGAATATATTATTACTTTCCGTGATTTTTTTCAGATTAAATTTTTAATTTCCATGTTTTTTTGTTAATTTCCATGACTTTTTCTGATTTTATTAATTTCCATGATTTCTTTTTTAATTTCATTAATTTCTATGATTTTTTAAAATTTTATAAATTTCCATGACTTTTTAAGATTTTATTAATATCCATGATTTCTTTTGTTAATTGTATTAATTTCTATGCTTTTTTTATTTTACTAATTTTCATGATTTCCATTACTTTTTCAGATTTTATTAATATCCATGATTTATTTTTTAAATGTATTAATTTCCATGATTTTCAAATTGTATTAATTTCCATGATTTCTTTTTTTTTATTAATTTCCAGGACTTTTTCATATTTTATTAATATCTATTATTTCTTTTTTTAATTTTAATAATTTCCATGATTTTTTAAATTTTATTAATTTCCCTGAATTTTTTTTATTATAAATTTTCCATGACTTTTTCAGATTTTATTAATCATTTCCATGATTTCTTTTTTTTTATTTTATTCATTTCCATGATTTCTTTTTTAAATTTTATTCGTTTTCATGACTTTTTTCATGATTTTATTAATATCCATTTCTTTTTAAAAAAAAAAATTCCATGATTTTTCTAAATTAAAAGAAAATATAATAATAATAAAAAAATAATAAAATTAAAAAAGAAATCATGGAAATTATTTGACTTGACTTGAGTCTCTCACCAGTCAGTGTGCGGGTCGTCAATGACCAGCAGGACTCTGGGTTTGCGTACGCTAGGCTTAGCAGGAGTGGCGGCGGCTTTAGCCTGAACAGCGCTAGCGATCTGAGCCGTCTTCACCACGCTGGAGAAGGAGCTGAGGAACCCCGGGGTCGCTGGGGTGGCCGGGGTCACTGGGGTGGCAGGGGTCGCAGGGGTCAGAGGTCGCCGCTCAGTGGCCGGGGACGCGGGAGAGCTGCTGGAGCTGCTGGATCGCTCCGTCATGTAGCCGTTGGGCAGGTTCGCCACAAAGCTGCTGTCCGACAGACGCCTACGCAGGTAATTCATGCTGAGGCTGCTGGGTAATCTGAGAAACACACACAGACACAGACCATTAAACACAAGTCATTAGATTAACGAGAACACACACTTTAGATATGAAACTAATTCTCAGCTCTCGGATTCTGTCAATTTTATTACGAAATTCAAGCAGTAGCGTTTTGGCGCTTGTGAACGTGGCGTGACAGATCACGTGACATATCTTACTCCATATTTAATAAACACCAATAAACAATGTCGAAAGATACAGTAAAACTTACCGTAATTTATATCCCTTAAACACAATATCATCAATCAGTGTACATTATAATTATAAATATTATAATAAAAAAAGGAATTTAATTTATATTTTATTTATTTGAGTTGTCATTTGTAAGGTTTAATGATAACACAGTGGACAGGGCTGTGTGTGGCGAGATATTGCATTTCTTTTAACAATGCATCTAATATTTATCCAAATGAATAAAGATCCGAATCACAAGAACTGAATTGAAATTGTGCAATTTGTGTCGAGCAATAATTAAACGCTGTACCACGTCAACATACTAATGTTGTCACTAAACTTAATACAATTCTGTTTACTTACCAAATGTTTTAACAATTAAAATACAGTTACTGTGTGATGAACATTTTCTTCTGGAATAGAATTAATAGAATGGGATGGAAGAATGGAAAATAAATATAGCAGAAGATTAATTAGACACGCTGCGTAATAAAACAGACACAGAATAGAATAATAAAAACTGAAATGAAACTCAAGAAATAAAATACAATATAAGAATCTCCAATGCATATTTTCTATAATAATGCAGTGGAATATAATAGATTCGTTCAATTAAATTGTTACAGAATAGATTAAAAAGAAATTCAACGTTCTGGGAAAAAACATGCATGATGGAATAGAATGGAAATACAAATGAAGAGTTGCGGAAAAGAAATTAAATCAGATTTACAGTACAGTCGTAAAATAGTTTGAAGAGAAGTCTGGATATATCGATCAGATCATCAATCACACACTGGAGCCTCATACCAGTCGCTTAGCAACCAGTGTGTGTGTGTGTGTGTGTGAGAGAACACATGACGCTCTGAAATTTTGTCAACACGTGTCACTATCCTTCACACACTCTCTCTCTCTCTCTCACACACACACACACACACACACACACACACACACACACACACACACTCTCTCTCTCTCTCTCACACACACACACACACACACACTCTCTCTCTCTCTCTCACACACACACACACACACACACACACACTCTCTCTCTCTCTCTCACACACACACACACACTCTCTTTCTCTCTCACACACACACACACACATACACAGAGAGAGATGGCATTCGCAGCAGAATGTGGCCCACCACAGGCACACACACGCCTGGAGTGACATCACTTCAATCCCAGAAACACCATCTGTAAATGGACCGATTATTATGAAAGTTCTGACTGGCTCACACACACACACACACACACACACACACATAATGAAGCGGAATTAAGCACATCACAGCTGGAGAAGCTCTTTGTGTCGAAGGCCTGCAGTATTAATGATCGTGTCGTTACAGAGTCGAGCTAAAAATACTGCAGGACTTCATCTCATACACACACACACACACACACACACACACACACACACATACACACGCACACTCTCTCACTGACACACTGACACACTCATTCACACTCTCTCTCTCTCTCTCACACACACACACACACACACTCTCTCTCTCAATCTCTCACTGACACACTCAAAAACACAGGGAAAGTTTAACTGTATATAGATAGATAGATAGATAGATAGATAGATAGATAGATAGATAGATAGATAGATAGATAGATAGATAGATAGATAGATAGATATATAGATAGATAGATAGATAGATAGATAGATAGATAGATAGATAGATAGATAGATCTCCAATAAATAAAATAATTTCTAATTGTCTGTTAGTTAATCCCATGCTATATTATTTATGCACAATAAAGTTTAAAATAAAGCAGGGAAAAATAGAAAGTAAGTGCCCGCTCAACAATCACACCCACCCACAGCTAATTAGAATAACCAGAATATGATAATGAGCTGTAAGACGCGGTGACGCCAGGTTTAGCGCGTCGCGTTTGATTGACATGCATAATAACCCTATGATATTAATAACACTTCAGTCAAACACATGAGTCAAATCAAAAATGAGCGCATGCGCAGTGACATCCAACGGCGTCTGCCAGTGTGTGCGGAGAATACACAGGATAAATAAGACTGTTCTCGCGTAGGACAGAAGAATAACAAGTGTTCGGATATTTTCATGATGAATAATTAATGAGGATAAAAAAACAAGTGAATAAAGGCGGCTGCTGTGAGGTTTGAGAATGAATAGATCGATATATGAAGGAATTCCCTCACCGACATCAATATCAATATCCACTATCACTATCACAGTTAGTAAATATAACACACATTATGAGGTTTACACAATTACCCTTAATTTAGACGTGTTATATTATCACACCGCATCTTTAAATGCCCAACCATCAAAAACCAGAGAAGGAAAATACAAAATTTAGTCTATTTACCAGATTTCTCCTTGTGTACTAATTGTCAATAATAACACATTACAAAAAAGGCAATAAATAAATAAAAATGTCATAAATGAAGCCAGAATTGGTTTATTTACCTCAGAAACGTCCGTGCTCGTGCCACACCGACTCCAGCATCAGCGCTCGCGCTCACGGTGCATGACGGGAACGTGCGGGACTCGCCGCATTAATTTACTCTCATCCGATTGGACGAACAGTCTCATCCTTCTGAATATTTAATGAGAGGTACATACACGCGCATGCGCAGACCCGGAGGGGTGCGCTGCTGCTGCTCAGGGTCTGATTCTGCACTAGTGGAAGAGATGTAAAGCTTCCTCGATTCGATTAATGGACTGGAAGTATGATTACAATGCAGGACGACTGTTTTATCGGTGTATTTTATTCCTCTTAAAGTCCACTCTTATCACAGAACAGCATAATAGTGCTGCATCAGATTTCACACATAAATCAGACATTGATCAGAAGCAGGAAAGCAGCACCTGTTGAAAACAAATGTTCATAGACTCATTCTGTGCCAAATGTTGATTATGTGAGACTAAATGATGCTAGATAACACAGGAACTGATTTTATAAACAAAACAAGTACAAACATTACATCTGTGAGTGAGTGTACAGGTTAATATTTAAGATGTCAATAAACTTAGTATTGTCGCGATGCAAAAAAACTCACAAGTCCTGATATCCTTAAACATTTGAATAACTTAAAGTTTTAAACTCGACTGATAATGTTTTAATAACACAAATATTAGTTGCTAATGCAACTTGACTTGACGCACATTATGATTACAGATCACATCACAGCACACTTCTTCTTCTGCGGCTCAGGGTTGTGTGTGTGTGTCCCTGCCGAAGAGCTTCCGGTGTGATCGTGTGGAAGGAGGCGGCTGTGGTCAGAGGACGCCGAGTCGCCGGCGCGAGACCAACTCTGAGCGGTTCTGTCCACTCCCGCTGGCTGAGACGGCGTGCTCTTCACTGAATACTTCACTGTGCTCTGCAACCCCATGGAGAGACTGGACTCATCCAGGACACTCGCACACGGAGGACACCGGGAGCTCTCAGCTTTCTGAGCCGCCAGAGCTGGATGCAGAGGTGTTCTGGGAGCATCTGAGACAGGAAGTGCAGTGAAGGAGCTTTCAGCTGAGACAGGAAGTGCAGTAAAGAGGTGTTTATCTGAGACAGGAAGAGGAGCTGAGAGAGGAAGTGCAGTAAAGAGGCGTTTATCTGAGACAGGAAGTGCAATGGAGGTGCATTCATTTGAGACAGGAAATGCAGCAGAGATAGGAAGTGCAGTGAAGGCGCTCTCAGCTGAGACAGGAAGTGCAGTAAAGAGGTGGTTATCTGAGACAGGAAGTTCAGTGGAGAAGCGTTCAGCTAAATCCGGAAGTGCAGTAGAGGCGCGTTCATCTGAGACAGGAAGTGCAGCTGAGACAGGAGGCACAGTGGAGGCACGTTCATCTGAGACAGGAAGTGCAGCTGAGACAGGAAGCGCAGTGGAGGCACGTTCATCTGAGACAGGAAGTGCAGCTGAGACAGGAAGTGCAGTGGAGGCGCGTTTATCCGAGACAGGAAGTGCAGCTGAGACAGGAGGCACAGTGGAGGCACGTTCATCTGAGACAGGAAGTGCAGCTGAGACAGGAAGTGCAGTGGAGGCGCGTTTATCCGAGACAGGAAGTGCAGCTGAGATGCAGACAGGAAGTGCAGCTGAAACAGGAAGCGCAGTGGAGGCACGTTCAGCTAAAACAGGAAGTGCAGCTGAGACAGGAAGTGCAGAGGAGGCGTGTTCAGCTGAGACAGGAAGTGCAGTGGAGGTGCGTTCAGCTAAAACAGGAAGTGCAGCTGAGACAGGAAGTGCAGTGGAGGCGTGTTCAGCTGAGACAGGAAGTGCAGCTGAGACAGGAAGTGCAGCTGAGACAGGAAGTGCAGCTGAGACAGGACGTGCAGTGGAGGCGTGTTCAGCTGAGACAGGAAGTGCAGCTGAGACAGGAAGTGCAGTGGTGACACCCACAGTTGCGTGTAACGTTGAACTTAAGACCGTAATGAGAGAGCCTGTTCCTCCGGAGACTGAAGTGTGTTCTGGGCCAGAATCTGGACCCTTGAATGAGCTGGCAGACCCAGAGTGGATGAGGACTGAGGTTTGGCCTGGTTCTGGTGCTTTAGAGGTTTGCCTCGTTTCTTTCGTGTTTTCCTGAGCGACTCCGGCCGCCAGAGCGACGTCACACGCGCCAAAACCCAACCGCACCTTCTCAAACGTGCCATTCTCCTCTGCGTACGTAATAAGGAACTCTGGGTAGACCTGAGCCCTGTCGAACACAACAAAGATGGAGGGGTCACGTGGATCATCGACACAGCTGTCGTACAGACTTCCCTCGACGCATTTGGCCGGAGGTTGGCGGTAACGAGCCGCTCCTCGGGTGTAGTAGCCGATCAACACCCTGCACGCGAACACACGCCTCACTGCTAACCCGTCCGTCCGCTCGTCCCAGTACCTGGCGTCCTTTGAGAAATACATCCCTGACAAATAAGGGGGGAAATTAGAATAAGCAAATTCACTTTTAAAACATTTTAATTCGTAATGTTTCGTAATTCATTTTAACATTTTAATGGGTTACTCGTTACTTTACTCGTCACATCAAAAAATGTATATGATTACGTAATGCACATTGCTTGTAATGTGTTACTTTACTCGTTACATCATAAGTAATCTGATTACATAATGCACGTTACTTGTAGTGTGTTACTTTACTCGTTACATCATAAGTAATCTGATTACGTAATACGTGTTACTTGTAATGCGTTACTTTACTCATTACATTAGTAATCTGATAAAAAAACTGGACGTCAGGGAACATTCAGAAATACTGTTCTCATATGTTAGCAAAACGTTCCTAGAACATATTTAGTTAGCTGGTTTCTACTTGTGATAAAACATACCCTTTCCATATGGTGCATCAACCTCCTGAAAGTCACAGTTTCTGTGACACACACCATCGACAAGAGAGGATATGGTGCCGTGGAATAAAAGCCGCTCACGACATCTCTCACACTTGTTTACAATTTTCATTTGTTCTTTTTTCCTGCAGAAAAAGTGTTTATGCAAATAAAACTTGGATTAAAGATTTGAGCGAGATAATCAATTCTTCTCCACAGGCCTGGACTGATACCCACGTCATAAAGTTTTCCCAGAGTTCCCTGTTTTGCACACGCTCGATCTGTCGGACAGTAAAACCCCTCAGAGTTTCATTGAAGCGCTCCTGGACTCTCACGTAATCTCTGTGAGCCGGCGGGAGACGCACTCTCTGCAAATAAACAAGAGATCTGTTTTATTAGAGAGCAGCGATTGAAAAAAAAAAAAAAAAAAAAAAAAAAAAATCACAAAAACTTGCACTTTGGATCCTGTTTCAAAGTTTGCGTTCTCGAGCATTAAACACTGTTGTGCGAATGAACGTCCGGAACACATTAAAAGTTTCAGTAGAGCCGTGTTGTGTTAGCGCCCCCTAAATTAATAACGAATGATTGTTGCAACGATAGTGAACTTTATCTGGACAATAACTCTATTCGAGATCTGCTGTAAAGTCTAAACACTCTCTGAGACTGAGATCTCCTGTTATCACTGTAAAGCTGCTGTGAGACTCTGTGTTGTTAAAGAGCTGTATAAATGAAGAAGATTTAAGAAAAAAACTGAACCTTAAATCCAGATTTAGGAATCGCAGTATGATCCCAAAATCCAGGAACGCCTTTAGAAAATTTAGTCTTTTTGGCACCGCAACCTCTGGAAAACAAAGATCACACTGAATAACACAAGACAACAGAGCATGACATCAGCGCACAGGACACTTGTGACGCCGTCACCTCGCTTTAGCCTTCTGGACGTCGAGCGATGAAACGAACGCGGGCCGTCGCCTGACGGGTCTCTCTGTGCCGCTAGCTTCGTTTCGTTGTTTCATGTCTGTGAATTTAACATTTACTAATACGTTATTAAAATCAAAGGTTGCATTTATTAACATTAGGGTTAAGGTTAGGGTTAACATTGTTGTAAAGGGTTCAATTTTAATACAGCTGCACAGAACACTGGCTTATAACAACAGACCTGTGAAGCTGAGCTCATAGAAACGGTTTCCCGCTGTGAACTTGATCCCAGAATCCTCCTGGTTCTGCTGTAAATACTCCTGATATCTCTGCTCCAGCTGCTCACTGCTGACTGAAGACAGTCGGTGCATCTCTGCCTGAGACAAAGAAACAGTGATGGGGTAGGTTGCTTTTAAAACTATTATGTTACACAATATTGTATTACTCCCTAAAAACGTATTACATTGTCACTTTTTACGGTAATCGGTAATGCATTACGCTCTCTTCCAGACCTCGAAAGTATTTCTTTACTGAGAAAAAAAAACATAACTGTATTAAGCAAATTATTCAAACCGAAAAGTAAAAAAAGTAACTCCAGTACTCGTTACATCACTGAAGTAATCGGATTACGTAAGGTGTTATTCGTTACATCACAGAAGTAATCGGATTACGTAAGGTGTTATTCATTACATCACAGAAGTAATCTGATTACGTAATCGCTAGATCACAGAAGTAATATGATTATGTAACGCGTTACTCACTACATCACAGAAGTAATCTGATTACATAACGTGTTACTTGCTACATCACAGAAGTAATCTGATTGCGTAGTCGCTACATCACAGAAGTAATCTGATTACTTAAGGTGTTACTCGTTACATCACAGAAGTAATCGGATTACGTAAGGTGTTACTCGCTACATCACAGAAGTAATCTGATTACGTAATGTGTTACTTGCTACATCACAGAAGTAATCTGATTACGTAAGGTGTTATTCGTTACATCACAGAAGTAATATGATTATGTAACGCGTTACTCGCTACATCACAGAAGTAATCTGACTACGTAACGTGTGACTCGCTACATCACAGAAGTAATCTGATTATATAACGTGTTACTCGCTACATCACAGAAGTAATCTGACTACGTAACGTGTGACTCGCTACATCACAGAAATAATCTGATTATATAACGTGTTACTTGCTACATCACAGAAGTAGTAGGATTACACAATGCACGTTACTTGTAATGCGTTACTTTTGATTATGTAATGCATGTTACTTGTGATGCGTTACTGTACTCGTTATGCGTTGCCCCCAACACTGATCCCCAGAAAGTATTTGCTCATTAACACTTCAAGCAGACGAATCCGGTTGATCAAACATACTATAGAAGCGTACTGGAGCCAGCGATTGTACTCGTCTCTCCAGTACCAGGTCCAGGCGGTGGTGAGGAGCATGGAGTCGGGAAGCAGCACAGAGGATTTCGTCGAGAGGCGCCGGACCTCGTCCAAACCCAGAGTCATCTCCTCAAAAAACACCGGCTCGTTTCCAGAACTGTCCAGGAGCAGACACACGTGACACGTCACGGAAATTATATGTAGAATATAAAGCATTTTCTGAACTATGGCGCATACACACCTGTGTATGTTGGACGGGTCACAGTAATCACGCTCGATCTGCTCACTGTGGGGTAAATCGTGCCATGTTCGGCCCACCTTCACCTCCCACTTATAGGGCATCTTAAAGTGTGTCTTTCTGCATTGGTCTGCAGACAGAAACGCTGATATCTGAATCTCACTGCTTCAATGACAACCCAACAATAAGCAATAAAGAGCAAAGTGCCTGATTTCTGTTCACACTGGGACCTGTTGCATGTGTGTATGTGTATTTGTCATCAACAATGTGGGGTTAAAATATGACTGGAATTAAAACCAGCTGGTCCGGTACCAGGTGGATGAATTTGGTGAGTAGCTTTATAATATATTCAGCCAGTCGATCATTTAAAGTCATTAAAAAGACAATAATATTGCATAATATTATCGATTTTAAAACACTACCGTATGAGAACATTTGAAGTGACTTGATCTAAATAATGACACTTGTTATTTTAGATCTGAATTAGTTTTATAATTGATTCATTTTACAACATGTACTGCACTGTATTCATAAACTGAATCAACACAAAACACAAGAACACACAACCCAAGCAAACACCCCAAGATATTCACACACACACACACACGTACCGTCTCTGCAGAAGTCTCTGACGAGAAAGGACAGGCAGATCTCGTTCTCTGCAGATGAGGTAAAAGCAGAATATCAGGCAAATATTCTCGTATGACTGTAAACCCGAACACTCAACATAATTAATTGGTTTGGGTTGGACAAACTTAAAAATTAAACTAATTAGTGAAGTCAAACTCTCTAACTTTTAGGAGTATTTAGCTCATTCTTTTAAGTTCACAGAACAGATATATTTTAAGTATCATTGTTTTGAGTTTTATTATATATTTTAATTTAGACGAACTTAATTAAACTGAAACTGGGCTGGTTTCACACACACAAGGACAGGAGAGCTGTCAGTCAATAAATGGGAAAACAGAAACTAGCATTAATTTTTTGAAAAAGTAACTCCGATGTTTTGTTGTATATTTTAAAAAGTAATGTGTAACTTTACTAGTTACTTGAGAAGTAATCTGATTACGTAGCAGAAGTAACCTGTGCCGAGTCGCGCACACACACTGGTCTCCAGCACACCTGTGTGGGTCTCCGGCTGGACCCCGGGCCGGACGCCCTCCACACTCCCGCGCTGTTCGCGGATCTTCAGAGCGAAGATGTTGCGGTAGATGAAGGGAAGCTCGTCCGTCAGCTGACGACACACTCCTCTGGAGAGCAGGACTCGGCGCACGCGGGACTCGTGGAGGTCGTGGGTCCGGCTGCAGTCCGTGCCCCCGCAGCGCCCCCGCATGAAGTCCTCACACACGTGCAGCCGAGTGCACTTCTCTCCGTCGGGACAGATCCCGTCAGGCCCTCGGCCCCGGTTGAACATCATACACACCTGAGAGGAGGACACACACACGTGAGCACGCTGCCACTCCAATTCCAGATTCGACTCAATGCATATACCGTAGATTTAATACAAATCGACCACATTTTAAAAAACGATTAATCGAAATTCGTGATGCTTGGCGGCTCACGGGCGGCAGGAGCGCATTGTCGGACTGCAGCAACAGCCAACACAGATGCTCCCGGCTCAGGCGGGTCATGTGATGCGCTCGCAGGATCCTCATGTTGTGCTCGGACCGCAGCTGCTGGTGTCCAAAACTGCAGCCAGGCCTTAGACACACACACACACAAAGTTCAGTCTGAATGGCCGTTACATCAAAAAATGTAATCTGATTACGTAATGCACATTACTTGTAATGCTTTTTTAATTACATTACATGTTACATCATAAGTAATCTGATTAGAAAATCATAATAAAGAAAATCGTAATCTTTGGTAAATCATAATTCTGACATAAAATGTGGAAGCTTATTCATAAGCTTAAGCTTAAACTCATAAGCTTCCACATAAAACAATGATACTTAATACATATATATAAACACACACACATGCTTGTAAATATTTAAGAAATATTTTCATGTATGTATACTGTATATAGATTTATATATAATTTATATTATATATAAATATTTTATATATAAATAATATTTTTTTCTTAAATATACATGGATGTGTGTGTATTTATATATAATACACAGTGCACCCACATATATTACGTAAACACAAACTTTTATTTTGGATGCGATTAATCGCGATTAATCATTTGACAGCCCTAAACAAATCATTAAAAAACGTATAATAATATGCAAAAATAAAATGACATTTTTAGGTCATAATACTCATAAAAAGTCAAAATTATGACATGAAGACAACTTTTTAACATCATAATTATTACTGAGTAATTAAGCAGATTATAATTATCATTTGATTTGATAACATCAATTTTCTTAATTTAGAATTTTTAGGGGCCGTTTACACGACACAGTTTTCAACTAAATAATTTTTTATTAAAACTTTTAAAAAAAAAAAAATTTAAAATTATTCGGTATTACATTTTGTACCGTTATCGTCTCCGTGTGTAAACTACAAAAATTACGCACATTATCAGTCTATAATTCCTATTTTATAATCTAATAATTATGACTTGGTACTGTATGTCACAATTTTTACTAGGCCTCTTTATCTCATAATGACTTAGCTTGTCATCATTTTGAACTTTTATCTCACAATTATCTTAGTATGTCATAATTGCGTACAATAAGTTCTTATCGTATAGTTTCAAATTTGTATCTCAAAATTATAAGAATGTCATTTTAAACTTTTTTTATGTCATAGTTTTGATTTGTATGACATATGTTTCTTATGTGGAAATCAAATGAGCTTTGGTATTGATTAGATCATACACGTCACGTGTTTATATCTTTAGTGTTGTTGACTGAAAGTGTGTGTTTGGCTGACGTGTAGTTTGATCAGCAACACACACCGTCTGTAATGTGTTCTGATTGTGTGTTTGTTATCCAATAAATGGCATGTTTAAGTACTGTGACAACTTGCCCCGTGTGTCATCGGTCTCCACACACACCTGTTGCAGCGGCCCATCATCAGCTCGTACTTGCACATGTGCAGGTCTCCACAGAACAGCTCGTCGCACTCGCTCCTCCGACACAGTTTGACGTTAGCCTGGGCGAACACCTCTCGGCGGCCGTCGCGCTGGATGACTGTGAACGCGCCGCTTTCCCGCAGGATTTTATCCAGGGAATTCGGAGGCGATATTTCCGTCAGCCCGAATGAAATATCCAGGAGTTGCTCGTAGTCCATCGCTCCGTGATTCCCGCACAGGACCTGCAGGATCGTGTTCTCCGCCATTATTCATGGGTTTATATGCGGGTCAGAGAGGGAGTTTCTCTCTGAACACTGACTCCAGATCAGCAGCACCTGATGGGTTAATTCTCGATCCGAGGAAACGAAACTCACGAAGAAAAACTCAGTAAAGGACCCGTATATGATATTCAATTTATGAGGAACGCATTCATTGTGTGATTTTAGCGGCACCTAGTGGTGAGTTTGCGAACTGCATCCAATAGAAGTTACAGTGGCCGACAGGAAGTGAGAGTGGCCAGTTAAACCATAGATATCCATAATAAAGACTAGATGTCTCCTCCGCGCTGGAGGTCGATGTCCGCACCTGGCGGCCATCTTGTCACAGGCAGCTCGCTCACTCATAACCTTGTGTTTTAATGGTGCATGTACTTTTTAAATAACCATAACTTGCTCAATTTCTACCGATTTTCCAACGGTTTGGTTTGTTCTAAACGTCAGAGATGTAGTTATGACACTGCATACTTATGAATAATAAGTGTATAAATAAATAATCATCCAGAATTATACGGCCACACCGTGTGATTTTTACCCCCATCTAGTGGTGTAAAGGTATATGACCATTCAATGAATATTAGTTTTTGTTCCTCTCAATTCCGATTTCGTTTTAACTCCTACGGTGGCCAATGTAGTCCAAGATTAAAATGGCTTCCAGGTTCGACCTCGTCCATGTAAACGCGAAAGGCGAAGCTTGAATTAACGGGTATGTCCCTCTTTGGCTAATGTACTTTCAAGATGGAGGGGCAACATGGCGACCGACATTTTTTTTTTTTTTTTACTTTTTCTTACTACAATAAACAATAAAGAAATCTAAATAAAATCTAATAAAGAAATCTAACAAAGAAATAACGTATGACAATCTCAAAATGCACAACACAAATCTCATTGCACTACAAGAACTCCGGCCCTTACCCGTATATGTATTTTCAATGGTGTATTATACACTCACGAGAATACTTTATTACTTGAACGAAGTAAATATACATTAATGAGCACATATATTTTTGAAAGAACTAAGTGTTTTTAGCTAAGAATAAATTAAAAAGATTTACAGTGTAGCTTTAATAACGTTTGTAAGAAACCAAACCGTTTGTAAATCCGTCAAGATTTCAACAAGATAAGAGTATTTGTTACATCAGCTTGCCTGTGACAAGATGGCCGCCGGTAATGACGATAGCGACTCCAGCTGTAAGACATCTAGCTTTTATTATAGATATCTATGTGTTTGCTATTCAATTTATCAGGAACGCATTCATTGTGTGATTTTAGCGGCACCTCGTGGTGAGTTTGCGAACTGCACCCAACAGAAGTTACGGTGGCCGACGGGAAGTGATGATGTGAGAGTGGCCAGTTAAACAATGAGGTTTCTTTACCAAGATAAGCCAAGTTTTGAACATTTTATGAAAGAGATAAAACAATAGGGTAATTCATTAGATAAAACTAAGAACAAAAAAGCAAGAAAGACCTATGATGCGTTTTGTAACTTTAATTTATTGTAACTTTACCCCTGGCATGATTTTTTTCTTCTTTTTTTTCCATTTGTTGTGAGTTGTATTGTCATGTAAATCTCTTTGTATATTCTCTGTTGCAATAAAAAAAGAAAAGAAAAAAACAAATAAAAAAGTTTCTTTACAAAGATAAATTAATAAGTTAAGTTTTCTTAATGATTCAGTAAACGGTGAATAATATTGTGACTTGTCAAAATTGGATCAAAATTACATTTCAGTAGTTTCTCCTTGTATAAACTGACGAATCCTTCTCTCAGCCTCGTGTTTCTGACAGTAAAGCATAACATGTTCCAGTTAATTCTCTACCCAGGTGGTTTGTTGGACCTGGAGACGCCATTACATCTCGAACAAGGTCAGTCACCGAAAGATTAAGCCGATGGTCAAGCCTGAGTCGTGGCGTCAGTTCCAGTGGAAAACTCTTCCAATCGCGGAGCATTGATGCAAAATGGAGACAACACACTACAGTTGTGTACTTTATTGTGACAATTATCTCAAATATTGAGATTATTACAAAGTTCAGTCAAAGTAAAATCAAGACAAATTATACATTTACATTCAAAAATTCATTTGTTTTATAAATTCATGTTATAGATCTTTTTGTTAATGCAATCTTTAACTGGATCTTCCAATGAAAGCACAGTCTTCACTCTTCAAGCTGAGGTTCTCCAATCATTTAGTGTTCTTAAACCCCGCCCCCTGCAGGGCCACGCCCACATCTCAACATCCAATCCACAACCGGTGCACACAACCAAAGCTTTTTTTTTTTTCTCAATAATTCGCTACACTCGGATGTATGTAGGAGGCATTTTTGGATTTAAGTCATTTTAATTTCACAACACTAGACAGAGTTTAATGAAATCACATTTTATAAAGTGCATGAAATTGCAAATTCATTTGTTTAATATAAATGGACAAAGATCTGTCGACTTTATCCAGAGAGGGGCCGTTCACCAAACATTACTATTAAGAATACAATTCTTCTCAAAGTACAATCTCCAAAGAAAAAAAGATATGAATATGTTATTTGCATAAAAACTGTAATATTTGAAGAGTTGGAAAGAATTATACCTCTCTTTATAAAATCATATCTTGGTGGACCCGACCCCAGAACATCTCTTCTTCTGCCATTTCAGTTAATGCGTAACATTTATAACGTGATTATCAGCATTAACTTCCTTTTACCGGCTTCCTCAAGCCTCAGATCACATGGAGGATCAGCAAATAATGCAATCAGACTTTGCAGTCTTTGGAGAAGCTGAAGCTGAAGATGAAGCGGAAGTCTGTACGTGGGAAGCATTTGAGGAAGAGGAAGAGGGGCGATAAATCTGTGTGGAGGAAGAAGGAGAAACATATAAGAAAGGAGAGGAGGAGGGAGAAACATATGAGGAGGAAGAGGAGCGATAAATATGTGAGGAAGAGGAAGAGGAGGGAGAAACATATGAGGAGGAAGAAGAGGGATAAATTTGTGAGGAAGAGGAAGAGGAGGGAGAAACATATGAGGAGGAAGAGGAGCGATAAACATGTGAGGAGGAGGAAGAGGAGGCGCTTGAGGAAGTTGTGGCGTATGATGGAGGGACCCTAACGCTGCTGTATGAAGGAGCCGGTCTCCTCACCGTCACCGCGGGTCTGCCGATCACGTCCTCACACACACTCGAGTCTCTGTACTCGATCAGGTACTCGGGGTAGATCTGGTGCTTCTCAAACACAACAAATATGGACGGGTCGAGGACGTCGTTCACACAGCTGTCGTAGAACACGGTGTCTCCTCCATCTTTAGACGGGGGCCGCAGGTACTCCGAGTTTCCTCTCGTGTAGTCGCCCACCAGAACCCGGCACACGAACATGCAGCGGGTGCCCGCGTCGCTAGTGTAGCTGTGCGAGTATTTCGCGTCTCGGGCAAAATAACTTCCTGTGAAAGAGATGGAGAATAACGCCTCGGGTCAGAACGGCCATGTTTGTATTCTTGTTTATTATGTGCACTTCCTGTACGTCACCTTTCCCGTAGGCGGTCCCGTGCGTCCCGCAGATCCTCCAGTCGAAGTTGTTCAGGCTGATGGCGTCGACGTGCTTGCGGTCGGTGCCGTGGAACAGCTGCTTCTCACACACGTCTCGGCCTCGGCTGCTCTTCTTCATGCAGTCCTTTTGCCTGCGGGGGTCAAACACCGTTTCACACAACACACAACGAACAAACCCTCAAAAGTGAAGCCAAAACGTCTCGATCGCCCCCCCGGTGGCCGGTCCTAGTATAGCTCATAACCCCCGCCTCCCCATGTTATTCAATGGGACGCGAGACCAACTAAACAATTAAATTACACTTCACATCTCCTTTTTCCAAAGATAGTTTCTGTCAGTTACTGTAGTTTCTATCACGTTGATGTAATTTCAAGTGTTCGTTTTTTAAAATAAGTTTAAAAACGGTGCTCTGACATCATGATTGACAGGTTCTCTGTGCGAGGTAGTCACTGAAGCACCAGCGGACTTTTTTAAATAATGTTGATTATGTGGTTAGTAGTTGTATTTACCTTATTTTAACGAGGTTCTGCAATCAGCGGACATCATTGGAGAAGAACGAAGCAGACAGAGGACACTTGATGAAAGTGCGGGGCGTGTGCTTGCGTTTGATTCAGCGAGAATGAGGGCGTGGCCTTGATTTCGCAGGTTTACTTCCCGCTCATGACTGCGCATGACTGGTCCCGAAACACGCAAGTGCGCAGACTCAAGTTCAAGATGTCAGCGTCATATCGAGACACTGGCGGCTTCAGTTCTCTCTGATGGAAAAGAGCGAAGGGGCGTCGTCCATCTTTTTTTACAGTCTATGCTTTCAACTAATGTACAACTTTGTATGCGTTTTGGCCGTTCGTTTACACGACAACAGCGTGTCTGAACACTGAAACTCGACGCGAGTCGACGTGAGTCTCTGAAGACGATGATGTCATGCACATGCGTGTTACGTGTTCAGTCAGAGGTGTTTCATTAGTTTTCTTTACTTTTATTTCTATTATTCATTTATAGATTGCACTGTACATTTTCTTTTACCCTCTATATTCGTTTAAGATTTTATTTTTATTTGTATGTGACTGGCATTCAGTAATTTTTCTAAAATCTAGTGCTGGCAGCAGAAAACTGTGTTTTTAGTGTTTTTCACACATCCGTGTGAACGTGGATCGTTTGGACAAAGATGTCGCCTGTACCCTTATAATGGCGAGTGCATGTCTTGTGGACTTACCACTGAAACACTTCCCATAATGCTCTGTTCTGGATCCTGTCAATCTTTAGAACGCTGAAGCCTCTCATGGTGCGATTGAACAGGTCGTTGATTTTGACGTATTCACCGGCCGTGCTTTGCAGCGACACTCTCTGCACAGAAAAGTGCAGGATAACATCAACATGTACACTCAGTGTCAATATGAAGGAATCTGAGAGCCTGCGCTCACCTTGTATCCGGTTTCAGGAGTCAGAGCTTTATCCCAGTGTTCCGGCAGAGCCTTTAAATTGGTGAATGTCCTTTTACTGGGAACAGATGTGAAGAGTGTTCGGTCATGCACGGTTATTAGAAAGGGAAAGGGAATGAGTGTGAGCACAGGAGCATTTTCTTACGTTGTCTTGATTGTTCGCGCATCAGCTGCCGACACAAATCTGGGACGACGTCTGACGAGTCTTTTGGTTGAGTAGCGTTTGTTTTCCTGGATCATATCTGAAGAGCAAGATCAGTTCAGACGCCATTAAGACGACAGTCCTCGTATTCAGCCTTAAGGGCTTATAGAGCTGCGTGAAGGCGCTTCAAGACAGTCAGTACTGTTACCATGGAGACAAATTAACAAGTTACAAATTACGTGATGCATACAAGTAACAAAAGCAATCAAGTAACGAGTATGGTAACATTACATGCAACATGCATTACGTCACTAGATTTCTTTATTGCTGCAACTATACATTTACACATACCGGTACATATTTTAGTTACTTTTTTAAAAAAGTAATGAATATTACTTTTTATTTTTGCTTTTACACTTTTTAAAGTACTGAATTAAAACATTGCGTAGAAAAAAAACAGAGGTTATATAAAAAGTAACTATGTCATTTTTTAAGGGAGTAATGCAATATTGTAACTAGGGCTGGGTAATAAATATCGATTTCTCGATATTAATCAATTCTCATTTTTATGAACCGATATTGATTCTTAAATCTCAACAATCGATTAGTCATCGTGTTTCATTTGAATGAATGGATCATTGTATCGCGGCTGCGCGCATCCAAAATATCGCAATAATCTTTGTGCTTTGTTACTATTGTTACTATTACTATATGAAACAAAGTCTCAATTTTCAAATTACGTCCATTTTCTTTAGAAACTCAAAAACATAAATAACGTTTTGTCGCTGTGGCGTGAGATCGCTCTGGAGAAGCAGCAGCGCTGATCTCTCTTCCGGCTTAATAATACCAGTCACAGCGCCAAATAAACATGAATGAGCATCTGAAAGTGTGTTAAAACATAGAGGACAACTTATCGAAATCAGTATCATGTCACATTGATTCCCTCAATCAGCGTTTCAACCGTGGAAAGACGTCAGTTAAACAGCTTGTAATCAATGTCATGTATCGTCATATTTACCTCTGAAAACCCACATCAACTCGTTAGTCATCTAGAAAAAATAACTCCAGAGAGGAGCATTTTGCTAAATATATACACCATATTACATATGCATTTTAATGTTCTTCAATATTTAATGCATGTTATAATAAATCTGGCAAGTTTTTATGACAGCCACCATTTAAATGTTTATATTTAATATAATCTTCTTATTATAAAAATAAATAGCTACAAAAAGTTCATTATTACCTTCATATTAGGCTAATGAAGTCTATAGGCTACAACTGACTCCCATAGTTTACAGCATTAGTTAAGAGATTTGATTCCCTTGAGAAAAATTGGCATTTATTGTAACTGATATCCAAAATAATCGATATTGAATCGAATCGTAATCGAAATCGAATCAAATTGTGAAATTCGTCTCAAAACCCAGCCCTAATTCTCATCTGTATCGCATCGTATCGTAAAAGTTGTTTTGTTAGGTTACCCTGGAAGCTGAGGGTGTAGGACTGCGATCCGGCCGTGAACTCCACCACGGCACTGCTATCAGCCTGATACTTCTGCTCCAGCTCAGCACTAGAGATGGAGGACAAGCTGTGACCCCCGTCCTGGTGAAGAACACAGAACATCATCACAGATTACAAGTAACGTCCATTACGTAATCAGATTACTTATGATGTAACTAACCAGTAAAGTATTACGCCAACACAACAGGCACTTACCACTGTAGCATACGGGATCCAGTTTCCATTCTCGTCCTCCCAGTACCAAAGCCACTCAGTGGTCAGAATGAAGGTGGGCTGGACCACGGACGACACCGTGGACAGACGTCGGACACTGTGAGGGCCTTGGGTCATTGTATCAAAATAAATTTGGTTGATTCCAGAGCTTTGAGAGAGAAAAAAAACAAGCCACACATTAGTTAATAAACTGACTGAATAGACAGCTTTATTATGATGTATCGCAACACACTGAAACCAATGCAAACACCTTAGCAATGTGCTTTTATCACCCACCTGTATATACTTTTAGGATCACAGTAATCTTTCTCAGTGGCCTCGTGAGGAAGCGCTTTCCATTCGGATCCTTCCTTAACTTGCCATTTATAGGGCAGACTGGAATGCTCCTTAAAACATGAGTCTGGGACACAGGAGTGCACTTCAGTTCACAACACAACACACACAACTCTATGAATCACATGAGCACGCAGTCGCAGTTATGGAGCTCTTACCACCGTGCTTGCAGAATCCCTTGATGAAATACATGCAGATCTCAGTTTTCTCTGAGAGAAGAAACACACACACACACACCGAATTATAAGCTGAATATTGCATTCTCATATTTAAAGGATCTCCAAGATGTTCATGTCTTTCACACTCCAGGGTTTCTCCATATAGTGTCTTCAATGGGGTCCAACGGGTCGAAGGTCCAGATGTCAGTTTCACTGCAGCTTCAAAGTTTCGATGAATAAGAGTCTGATCTAGACAAACCAGCCGACATTTAGAACAAAACACACATTTATATACTTTATAACCAGTAATGCTGGTCTTGCACTCGCTGTGATGCGACACACATTACACAATCAGGGTGAAAGGTCAAGCGTGACGTAGCCGGAGCAAGAGCAAGACCAGCATTAGTGGTTATAAAGTATATAAATGTGTATTTTGTTCTAAATGTCGGCTGGTTTGTCTAGATCAGACTCTTATTCCTCGGCTGGATCGTGTCGAGACTTTGAAGCTGCACTGAAACTCACATCTGGACTTTCGACCCGTTGGACCCCATTGAAGACACTATATGGAGAAACTCTGGAGTGTGTTCCTCAAAAACCTTTATTTCTTTTTCACTGAAGGAAGAAAGACACGAACATCTTGGATGACGTGGAGGAGCGTGAACTACAGTGAGGAGTGATACCTATAGGGGATTGTGGAGGCCTCTGAGCCTCTTGTCCTCTAAAACCATTCGATGGCCTTCGGTTCTGAGCATTCGGGCCTCTCTTGGGGTTCTCAGCGTTCGGGCCTCTTCTGGGGTTCTCAGTATTCGGGCCTCTTCTAGGGTTTCTGAAACGAGGCTTCAGGACTTCAATGTTGGAGTAGATGTCCTTCATGATGGGCATGAGTTCGCTGGGAACGCCTCTGTCCTGCAGGGCTTGCAGTGGATGAGGCTCGTAGAAGTCGTGGGCTCGAGTGCAGTCGCAGGATCCACGCAGGTATTTCTCACAGATGTGGAGTCTCTTGCAGTTCTCGGCGTCCTGACATCGGCCGTACTGTCCCGTGCCGTTATTATAGGAATGACACACCTGAAAAACAACCACGATTCGGATGGAAGCTCATTTCTGCCACGGAAATTAAAAAAGTTTAACAATGCGCAAATGCAAGTTTATACCTCATAATTCTGAGAAAAAGTTTTTTACCTTTAAATCTCATAATTCCGACTTTATTTCCAGCAATTCAAACTTTTTTAACTCGGAACTTGCGATTCTTCAATTCTGAAAGCCAGTGGTGGAGGAAGCACTGAATCTCAGTACTTAAGTAAAAGTACAAATAACCAGATAAATATTTACTTTAGTAAAAGTAGAAGTAACACAATGACAACTATACTAAAGTAAAAAGTACCTGATTTTAAATGTACTTTAAGTATTAAAAGTAAAAGTACTTGCATAACAATTGATTCTCTTGATGACTATTTTCTAATGATTAATAAAACATTTAATTCTAACTCATTTAACCTAATACTCCTATAATGATGTTCAATAATGATGGAAAAAAAAATGTTTTTGCTTGTAATTAGGCAATATATAAACCATGCTTATCCTTACTAACTTATAGACCATTTTGCAAGATGTAAACAACACTGGTCCAGAAGCACTTCCTGTTTCAGTTTTTTTAATACTACATAAAAGCTGGGATAAAATACAACCAACAGAACATATAAATATGAATCAAAAAGTTAAACAAACATCTTTAAGATGTTTTCTTTACATGTGAAATAAAGAAAACAGTTACAAACTGAAACAGGAAGTGCTTCTGTACAAGTGTTGTTTACATCTTGCAAAATGGTCTATATGTTAATAACTATGTTTGACAGTAAACGCGATTAATTTATGGTGTAATTCTGAACCTCTTGGCTTGCCATAATCCTAACCAAACGTATATCACACACGGTGTGTTTCCTATGCACGTAAAAACAAATTTCAGCGTATAAATTGCACGATAAACACACTGCGTGCGAGACTCATTTAGTTGATGTATCTATGGCAACCAAACGTCACTGGTGAGACAAACGTGCAACGAACGAATGGTCAGATTACGTTTTGGCAGGGGAAATGTAACGAAAATGTAACAGAAGTTGTAAAAATGTAGTGGAGTAGAAAGTATAATAATTGCTGCAAAATGTAACGAAGTTAAAGTAAAAAGTATGCACTATTTATTCTACTTAAGTAAAGTAAAGATACGTGAAAAATGTACTTAAGTAAAGTAACAAAGTATTTGTACTTCGTTACATTCCACCACTGCTGAAAGCAAAACTTGCAATTCTGAGTTTATATCTCGCATTTCTTAGTTTGCATCTAGTAATTCTGAGTTTATATCTAATTGTGAGGGAAAAAAAGTCAAGTTTAGGCCTAGATCTCGCAATTGTGACTTTTTTCTCAATTCGCTTCTGTAGGTTCTTGGTTTTTGCTGGTGGTACAGTATAGTAAGTGCACGATCACACTAAGAGTCCTTTAATAAATTCAACAAGGAACATGTAGGAGAATCACAGGACATAAAACTCAGGAAGCGTCTGACATTGACAAGGCCGAACACTGAGCAGAAACAGCTTAAACACAGGAGGGGAATCAACCGAACCATAACTAATCCAACCCAGGGCACTAACTAGGGAACAAAACAGGGACAGAACACAGTGAAAACAATCAAAACTGAACATCCCGGTGACAGCTACACTGAATCTGATAGACTCAAGGTTTGAACTGTACGTATTGCGGGGTGAAATAAGTGAAATCCTCTTACAGCCGGCAGGAGAGAGTGGTCGCTCTGCAGAAGCAGAATACACAGATGCTTTACGTCCAGTGTGTTCAGACCATGAGCCCGGAGCACAGGCTCGTTCTGATCAGACGACAGATCGTGACTGAACCGACATCCTCGTCTGTGGGACAAAACACATCCGTTTCAGGAACACACAGTTGCTGCGGTGCAATTTTGGTTACGTTTAAGCATTAGTATGAACCATCTCCTGCACAGCACTGCCTTAAAGGGATAGTTCACCCAAAAATGAAAATTTAGTCATTGATTACTCACCCCCATGCTGACAACGTCAACTCAACTATAAGTTTATCAAGCTACGCAAATACTTTTTGTGCGGAAAAACTAAAATAACGACTTTATTCGACTATTTTTTCCACGACACAAGCGCGAGAATTGCGCAATTCTCGCACATGCGTCGTGGAAATCTCTTGAACTCTCGTCTCAGGCCTACAAGGAAGAAAAGGAGTGGTCGAATAAAGTCGTTATTTCCGCACAAAAAGCATTCTCGTCGCTTGATAAACTTATACTTGAGCCACTGTAGTCACATATGGAATATTTAAACATTTTCTTCAATGACTTTCTGGGCCGTCAAGTTTCGATCCCTTAGGAGTCTATGTGGTAGTGATCCACCTCTCAAATTTAATCAAAAATATCTTCATTTGTGTTCCGAAGACGAACGAAGGTCTTACGGGGTTGGTGCAGCACGGGGGTGAATAATTAATGACTTAATTTTCATTTTTGGGTGAACTATCCCTTTAATGGAAGAACGTTTAGGCAGAACTTTGGTAGAGAATGTTCCCTGTAAGCTGGGTGTATAACTTACGTGTAAAAAATAAATAAATAATACTGAATCCAGTATTGTTCGCCACTGACATGCAGTGTAATGTCTCGTGATTCATGATGAATCATCTGGCTTATGAATATTGCTAGTAAACAATGATTGGCAATGTTTATACTCTTCCACTAGATTAGATTCTATAAAAACTTTATAGAGACTAACTTTATAGTTATTCTGAGAAAGCCTGACCAAACATTTTAAAAGCTTTAAGGTTTTAAGTTAAAAGTAGTAGTCAGATAGACAGACAGTTAGATAGATAGAGACAGACAGACAGACAGATTAATCTTCATTTGTAGGAAAATCATAAATCTGATCAGTTATAATCGAAAAGTCAGATAAGTCTGCCCAGATAGCAGACAGACGTCGATTCAACGTCTATTTTTACCCTTTACAAACCAAAAATAGACGTTGAATCGATCCAAACTGATCAGTTGTCGATCAAATTTCACGAAGAGTAAGTCTGTTGATTCTAGGGGGAGTTAAGAGTCAGAAGAAGAATCAATATGTCTGTTTTATTACTCACCTTCCTTTGGCGAAGCGGCAGGAACCGAAAAGATGCCACTTGCACAGGTGCAGACCCGCACAGCCCGAGCAGTTCTGCGCTCGACACAGGCGAACTTCGGTTCGGACGATCACGCTCTTCTGTCCGTTTATAACCGCGACGACGAAGCACTCACTCCTGCCGAGGACCGACTCCATGTCTTCATTATTCAGACCGCATATTGATCTTAAATCATCGAAATTCATAGATCCATTATGATCACAAATCGTTGTAATGATCGCCGCCTCGGCCATATTGTTGATTCTGTTCTACAGACTGTATGGACTGACAGAGAAAGGAAACAGCGAGGAAAGGAAAACGAAACTTAAACATGGGGGCGGAGCTTCAGTAACTACAAACACATTCTTCGCGGAATAAAAATAATAATTAAATTAGTAAAGTAAAAACAAAATTGCAATAAAATACATAATAAATAAAAATGTGATCAAAATAAAAATATGTGTTATTATTATTAGCTATCTAATACTATATTAAAATTCGGTTTAAAATAAATAAATAAAATACGTATTAATATGATAAATAAATAAAAATTGATTAAAATTAAATAAAGTAACAAACAAATAAATTCTACAGTTGAGAGTACATTACTAGTGAGTCAAAAAATTATAACAATGTGACTAAATAAAACCCTTATTTTAGATTTATAATAATATTCATTTTTCAGTGTATTATTTAGGTGTTTATAAAAGATAGATTTCTTTAAAATTTGAACATGTACAAGATTGAGAAAAACTTCAATTCAATGGATGTTTTGAAACTTGGGGGGCTTTTGCGAGTGGGGCTTTTGCGTGATGCTACATTTACGCCACTAGATGTCATAGTAGCCTTTTGATTAATAGTTACATGGAGATCATGTTTGCTGTAGCCTTTAATATTCTATATATTTTATGGCACCAAAGACCAACTCGTGTATTTGAACAGACCTGAGGGCAACAACAGTGGACATTTATATTTTTATGTAGGCTACTCATGAATGAAAGATATCAAAAATTACATCCAACCGGAGAAATAGAGAGTAATAAACGTGTGACAACTAGCCCCGGTCTGATCCGCCATACTAATGTGTGTGATACCAGTGATGCAAACGGTTTAAATAAATATTTATCAAGTCACATTTATGCATTTATATAGCCGCTCTGGAGAAAACAGTGATGTCATCGTCCAGCTCAGCTCAGTTCTCATATAATGCTGCCAATGCAGGAGATCAATAATATCGATGAATAATAAATTAATGTTAAATGTACAATTTTGTAATACAAACGCGAGCACATTATCATATGACATACAATATCACAATATCATATCTGTAGCCTACGTCACGTGTGTTTATTATTATTGGATGGGAAATGGGCAATTGATAAACAATATAATAATATCGTGCAAATACAACTTTCGCTTCCCAGTCGGAGTTCATTCCCGGATCTGATTCCGGATTAACTCGGAATAGAATATCATCGCGCGCTGATCCGGTGTGCGTTTTACAAACACACGGTTGTTCCCCTTTAAGGAGGCGCGCGTTGCCTGGAATTCACGTCATTTCGCCGCGAAGCGTCCGGATCAATGAGGTTCCGCGGTGCGTTGCGCTCCCGCGAGCGACGCTTCCAGGAAGGTGTTATTAACCATCGCGTTGCCGCAACGTAGCGTCGGCTCGCGCGTTTACAAACAAGAAACACGGAGAAGTTGAAGTGTTGCGCGCGCGAGGCGAGGCCAATGGATGCGCGAGCGAGTTGAAAAATCGCCAGTGCGTCGCGAGGGGAACATTATTATCCAGGATTACATTATTTCACGGAAGAGCAACAAGGGAGAGGAAAGTGGAAACAGAAGAACTTCCTGAATTTCAACGCGACATGTCCGATTCCCCCTCGCAGGTCATTATTAAGGTAATCCTGCCTTTTCGTTCTCGATCTCGCTTCGGTTTGAGTCACGCGGTTCAGCATCTGTTGCTGCGATCGATGCATTAAGTCGATCGATTAGAATCTGGCTTTTGTGTTGTGTTTGTGTGTGATTAGCACTGGTATTTAAACACGCTGCTGGAGTTCATGCGTTTACTACTGAGCGTCAGACTGGGAAAAGTTCTCCAGCGAGTTTGAGAAGGAGTTTCACTGGAGGACTTTGAGCTGGTCTGGAATCACATATTAGTTTGCATTAGTTATTTAGTAACAGACTCGCGGAAACGAGAACAGCCCTGTATAACTGGCTCAAACATGCTGTTATCTGCTCTTTGCTCTGTTATTGCAAACACTGTTTCCTTATGGCATCTCCCTCCTCGTACATTAATGCACGTCACACCTGGCCTATATTATATATCTTATTGTAAACATGCATACTTCATTTTTTGAACTTGTGATGTTTAAAGTCCACATGAAATCAGCATTGACGCTTCTTGAGTTTAAAGGGGTCCTATAATGCCCTTTTTCGCAAGATGTAAAATAAGTCTCTGATGTCCCAAGAGTGTGTGTGCGCAGTTTCAGCTCAAAATACCCCACAGATATTTATTATAACATGTTCAAATTGTCACTTTTTGAGGGTGAGCAAAAACACACCGCTTGTGTGTGTCTCTTTAAATGCTAACGAGCTGCTGCTCCTTGCACAGGGAGCGGAGCTTCCAGAGATTGCGGGTGTGTGTTAGCAGCTCAGATTAGCAAACAAACAAACAAACACACACATTACTGAACATTTCAAAAACATTTAGCCTTTTATGCTCAAGCTGGCAGCGGCGGCCTTACCTGTCTTTCACCCGCTTCAATTGAAACAGGCTCCGCCCTCCAGGGGGCGCCAGCAGACCAGCAAAACCCCATTCAATTTCTCCGTAGGATATTGATGTTCAGCTACAGTGTCTACATCATTTAAAGTTTGCGTCAAACGGAAGTTGAGATTGTCATTTTTTCCTTGTCGTGACGTATATCCGAGTGAAACGGCTTCTGAGATTATAAAAGAAGTAGGGCGGGGCTTGATTTCGTCCTTCGGGAATTGATTGGATCGTTGGAGGTTGGGCGTTGCAAACAAAATAGAGGCAGATTTGAATGCGAGGCGGTGCACCAATAGCCACACCCTTTCGCCATTGCACGTGACCGAAATAGAAGAGAGGTCGTTCGATGGGGGAGGGAAGGGTAATGTATCTGATTAAAGATTATGTACATGAATTAAAAAAAAAGTGAAGTGCACAGATAAATCATTTATAATAAACACTACTATTACATATAAAAAGAAGATTTGTCAAATTTGATTTCATGCTGAATTTAAGATAGATTGACCACGAGCTACAAGGTTGTGAAACTAACGTTTCTGCTCCTATTATTCAAACATATATTAAAGTCAAATTTGCATATACATTTAAAAAATAGTATTCTGGCATGATCAGCCACAAGGTATGAAATCAACCTTGTTATTTGCAATGTTCTGGAGAAATACTACACTACCCACAATTCTAAGCACAACACTGACGTTTCTGATTGGTCAACTCGTGGTTACCATAGCGACATTTACCACCCCCATGATCTGAAGTATAATATCGGTAGTTTATATTTATACCTTTGCCTTTTTTGCCATTAGGGTAAAATGTTTTTTTGAGCAGGACAAGAATTTTAAGAGGAAATGAAACGTACATACGAGAGGTTGGACGACAAAAGAAAAGATCAGTCTACCAAAAGTGGAGTTACCGATGAATGTGTGAAGCTGATGTGGAGTTAACGATCTTCTAGTCATTGATTGGCTTATTCTATCATGATGATCTATAAATCGTGTCCCGGGGGCGGGGTTATGTAAATTTTAGGGTTGGTGATGTCACTAAGCCGTGAAGAAGCTCGTGTAGTTCCTACCAGCCGTTTGTTGTAGTCCTTAAAAAGTGATTTGTGTAAAAGTAAATCTCTCGCTTTGCTCTGAGCTTTGAGTGTGTGTCTGTGCAGATGTTGTTTACACTCTAACATCAACATTACACACTAACTCCAGTCAGAACAGTGAAATCATGATCAACCGCCGCTTTAAAGTCCACGTGAAATCAACATTGACGATTCTTGAATTTAACTCTCTGATGATGTGGGCGGGGCAACCTGTCACTCATATGAGATCAACCAATGGCAAACCACAACCATCCAATCAATTCCCTCGGTCAACATCAAGCCCCGCCCACATTCGTTCTTGTTCCAGAAGCGTTTCACACTCGATATACGGCACAATAGAGGAGAAAAGACCAGGAGAACTTCAATTATGATGTCATAACTGGATCATCTAGTTTGGGATTTGCATGTTTTGGCCTCACTATTCCAGGTGTTCCCGGGGGATTTCTGACAGGTGTAGGAACTCGGTTGGATCAGCTTTGCTCTGCGAGGGAGTTGATGCTAATGTTTTATGTGCTGTTTGAGGAAGTTTCCAGAGAACCGCTGTGCTTTCCCCGGGAAACGAGTGTGTGTTCAGCTCTCGCTGACACTGGGCAGGGTTTGACAGAAGCGAAATCAGACACTGAAATGTTTGTGATTTCCCCCCGAGGGTTTGAACATCATCATCATCACTCATATTACGCTCATATGTAGAGTGCTTCATATTACTCTCATCCAGCGGTGTCGAGATTCATTTGCTGATATAGATTAATAACTTAAAGAATTACAAGGTGTAAAGTGAAGAAACTCAGTTCACATTAAAATGATTCATTTAATCCCTCGTGTCGTTTCAAACTTCTGACCTTTTTTTTCTTTTGCAGAAGAATGTTTACTGTTTTGGTTACGTGTGTGTGTGTGTGTGTGTGTGTGTGTGTTTGAGAAGAGTGAGTGTGTAAGAAGAGAAGATATTTTGAAGATTTAACTGTTTTGGTTAGGTGAATGAACCAGTGAATGAACAAGACGTTTTTAAAATGATCTTCTTTCATGTTCCACAAAAGAGAGAGACGAGTTTGAAACGACGAGGCGAGGGAAAGTAAACGACGATTTGTTTATTAGCCATTAAACCCATTAATCTCGTGGCATTTGCAGTGTAAATGCATTAAATCACAACAGTTTGTAAATATATATTTAAATACCAATACTTAAATATTTATTAATTATTAACTGTAA